AAAAAAAAAATAATTTCAAAGCCTTCTAGTTTGTTTCTGGTAGTAATTTCTAAGTGTCGCAGTTTTGGTGTGTTCACCCTTTAATGAAATCAATTTAAAACTTACCTGCATTTCTGGCGGTCCACCTTCATCACGTATCAATAATAAATAACTTTGGCCATCTATGAATACCTCCTTCTTAAAGCGACCGCCCTCAGGCGACTCCTCTTGCATATAGGAACCAGTTAAATAACGATGCACTAAAGCTGATTTGCCAGAGTTCAGTGAACCGACAATGCCCAAACGCAAATCGGGTACTGAACGTGAGATCGTCCATTCTTGACTGTTGACAAAGGAGTCTGGAAAAAAGTTGAAAAAAATAAACAAAGAAAATTTAAGAAAGTTAAACAAGATTTATTCTGGCAAGTAAGTACATACATACATATGTATGAGTAGTATAGTATATGAAATTTTTAATGTAGTGTTGATGATATCTTAGTACATATGCATATACGCAAAAAAATTTTTGATAATTTTTTAAAATCTCACATACCAACGCGTTTCGGGGGAAATTAGTGACCAAACCCATTTTTGGTAGTTTCATATTTACATGTTTTGTGATTTTACGATTTTACAGCGAAATTGTGTCTAAGATAATTTAAGAATTTATTTAAATTACCAAAAATGTTGGCCAATTAGTATGCAATGCATAGCCAAATGCCACTCTATGCATACCATGAGTATTTTTCAATAACTGATTGGACATGCTGATTTTGTGTGCGCTGCATGCCAACAAAAATATATGATTGCTGACAATCGTGCATGTCAATAGGCAAAAAAAAAACTAGCAAACCGAAAAGTTACCGCACAATAAAGTCAGTAATCTTATGGACATTTAATTGGCAGCATAAAGTTTTTTCTAATAAATTTATTACAACAACTTCAACATAAATAACTATAATATTTCAGTTGCGCATGAGAGTTGTCACATAAGTAATTCGCACACTTTATGACAGCCGTCGGCAATGACATTTTGACATTGCTTTAGATAAGCGACAATTGGTGTGAAAAAAAGAATATATGCAAAATGGAGTAAAATATTAACAAATTAATTATTTATAACAAGTGTGTGAACAAATGTAGGGTCACATGTGTTTAGAATGACTTTTTCCGGAGAAATACTTAGACATCTTTTAGTCGTTTAGATGTCTAAAAATTTAGTATTCTAGGAAGTCCAAATGTTATAAAGTTTCAAGCGTGCACAAAAAAAAAAAACGAAAATTTTTTGATATATTACTTCCGCCTTCTAAATGTCATATGCGTAGCGCACGAAAAAAGTACATGAATTAGAGAGAAAAACTAAAAAAAAACAAATCACAATTGTCAACCGGCTACCATCATATGGCATTGTCGGCCATAAGTTTATCCGTTTAGTGTGTAGTACAAGCACCAGGCAGCAGCTAGTTTTCAGCTCAGTGTTCCTTTTTTTATTTACAAAGTTTTATGACAATGCAGATCATCCGACTATAGGCAGAATACTGGAGAAGATATGCTGGTTTCACGCCCTTTACTCTCTAACATATTGCAGTTGTGGCGGAACTTGTTTTCGACTTACTTTAGACTACTAGATACGCGTATTACATGCCGTTTCTATTCCTCAGGCTACTACTATTTTTTCTCACAAACGTACATGTATTTACACGCAATTAGCAGCAGTGGGATTTTGTTTTGTTTTGTAAGGCTTATTCGTAGTACTACAATGTTACCGGCTCGACACTTACACAAACCTATGAATGAGTGACATACATGTTTATGTATGTATGTACGTACATATGTATGTATTCATAACAGGCAAATGTAGAAAATTGCTATTCTGAGATTCTTAGATGATAGCCCTCGTGTACGCTCCAGCCTCCTTTTCTAACAAAGCTCCTCCTCACAGCGCTTCATTATTAGCTGCTCTTTCCAGACGTTATTGTATGTCCTTGCCTTTACTTGTCGTGTCGTAAATTCCCGCATGTGCTCGTAAATATGTATATGAATGTGTACTAGGGTGGTCCAAAAATACATGGGGAGAAAGTTAGGTCGGAAATTCAATGCTCTTACCCACTAGGATTGTTCAGTATCGAAATGTTTTTATTTTGAAATAAACAAATATTTAGAGGTCGCTCAAAGCACTCAAAGTTTCCCATGTAATTTACTTGGGAAGATATTTTTCAAAAAGTGCAATGCAGGACCCTTTTGAAGTTTTTAGGGGTCCTATAAAAATAGTTAATAATAGAAACAGTTGGGTATAGTTATTGGAAGTCTCCTGGAGAGAAACGAAGTTTTCCGATCGAAAAATATTGATTTCAAGAATTCTATACCATTTCTACGAAAACTTGTTTTTTCCAGAGACATAACTATTGTAAATGAAAATAATAAAAGTCAATCAATAATCATTATATTAAGATAAATATTTTTTGAGTCATCTATTCTATTATTATTCAAGGACTTATAATTATTATTCAAGGACTTATATTAGTCCTTTCATAATAATTATCATTGAGATAAACATTTTTAAGTCTTCAAAGACTTTTACTTTAAGATTTATATTATAAAAGTATTTTCATAATAATTATGAGCGCGAAAAAAATTTTTTAAAGCCTTAAAATACAGGACTTGTCCAGGAGCATTTCAGGATTAGTCCAGTTGGGGGCTAGGTGGGGACCAGTTCAGAACTAGTGGGGAGTGGTTTGGGACAAGTTGGAGCTTGGTTTGGGACCCGTTCGGGACTATATACACATTTTTTTCGCACTCATAATTATTATCAAAAGGCTTTTATAATATAAGTCTCAAAATAAACGTTTTTGAAGACTTAAAAATATTTGCCACAATGATAATTATTATGACAAGACTTTTATAATATAAGCCTCAAAATAAAAGTCTTTGAAGACTTAAAAATACTTATCTCGCTGCTAACTATTATGCAGACTTCTATTATATAAGTCGTCAAATAATAGTTATCGATGACTTAAAAAAATTCGATCACACAAAATTACTCTCAAAAGACTTACGACTTACTTGAATGACTTTTTTAGTACTCCACCATGAAATAATTATTATTGTGGGTCTCTGGTTTTTTCCCATATAAAATACAAGGAGAACTTTGAGCGCTTTGAGCGACCTATTTAAATATTTTTTGATTTGAAAATTAAAAAAACAGGGAAATAATTGTGTTGGCTATAGTACAATCCTAGTGGGTGAGCGCATTAAAATTCCCCACTTCATTTTTTTTGGACCACCCTAATGTCTACGCGCATTCTGAAAATATCATATACGCAGTTTGTACTCACGTCCATCATGCCTTTGATTGACAGCTCGATGTCCTGACAGTCAGGCAGTCATCCAGTTACTCATATCAAGGCACACTACATTATCCTCACACACTCTGCCTTGCACAAAAAGCCAGTTAGCCTGCTTGAGGGGCAACAACTGTCTGGTCTTCTCAGTTTCTGTTGTCACTGTCAACAATTGTTTGATTTCTGGCTGGACACTTTTGTGATTTAAATGCATTGCTACAGTTTAAATTTTTCGGCAAATTTGCAACTTTCAGTTCGCCTTTTGTGGTGCTTTGACTTGCACGGTTTGCTCTTGTCGAGTTACTTAAAAGACAATAAATTTTGTACTTTTTCCTGCAAAAAAGTAAAACGAAAAAAAGCGCAATTTCACACAATTGTTGCTTCCAGTTTTTGCCTTTTGATTTTTCTTTACTGATTTTTTGAAAAGAAATTTTTTTGCAACAGTTGCCATTCGTCACTATGCGACATTTCGAGAAGCGTAACAAATTCGCAAGTGTGTCAGCAGCTGCTTGATGTTGTCAAGCCATACGTCACATGTCACCATCTTGTCATTATTCCATATATGTATAAATATATTTATATATATGCGTATGTGTACAGTGAGCTCCTAAAGGAGGCGTACTCTGGCTTATAGCGTCATAAAATATTTACCTTTAAAGGGATGGGTGTAGTATGTATTGTCATTTTATTCAAAAGAAATAGGCCTATTTTCTTAAAAGAACGAGCAAAAAAAATTTTAAACTAAAAACTTTAATAATGTGGACAAATAGCGCATCGTCTTGCCGGTAATGGTTCTATTAGAAAATTGGGCTCGAATCGTAACATCCGTTCACGGATCGAAAAACATACGAAGGAAAATTACGTGATACGTCAGTCGCATAAGCGGAATGGTATAAAGAGTACGTTCACGTATGTCATAATCCGAAAAGTGTGTTTTTACGTGACGAGTATTACGATATCGTATGTGACGATTCGAGTCCTAGTCTTGTTCCATGGCAAATCTTGATAATTTAAGGTAGCTACTTCTTACAGCTTATCTATTCAATGGGCATATCTATGATTGTGTTTGACGTATGTAAAGGTTTTTTGCCTGGAGGATGTTGAGACATCACACTGATCATATTTTGTGTCTTAGTCAGGTCAGAGTTTGAAGTATTTCAACTTTTGAATAGTCGAGAGTTGTATCCTCAATCACCTTCATAGAATGTGTACCGCAGTGTTTCCAGTAACTGGGTTAATAAAATCCCGTCTAAATACATCCTAAATCCCGTTTTATACTAAAGATATAACAGAAATCCCGCTTTGATTTTTTTTTCGAAACTCTACAGCTCTGAGGCATTTTATGGTATAATCTTGGTCAATGATAGGTTTTCTTCAGAATTGAATGCTCTCAAAAAGTGTCCATTGCAGCGTAATCCGTACTCCCATCAGCGAGGTAGTACGGGTCATTAATCCCAATTTTTCATGAAATTCTTGTGCATACAGTTTCCTACAAAAAAATTCTATGAAACCAAATCGCTAACATCGATATTTCTTTAGATATTGGACTTTGCAGTTGATCAACAATTTCTATAATTTAGCCCAATACTCCGTGAAAATTCCACACTACCTCAACTTCAAGGCCCAATATCTCAAGAAATATCAATGCTGGCGATTTGGTGTTCTAAAAGTGTTTTGTAGGAATATGAATGTACTACAAGTTTGTCGTTTACATTTTTTCTGCAGCTCTTATTATTTACGAGGTAGGTGGGAAAAAAACGAGAATTTCATAAAAAAAATTGGGTTTTGTTCGCCGCATTGGACACTTTTGTAGAGCATTCAATTCTGCAGAAAACCCATCATTGACCAAAATTATACCATAAAATGCTTCCGAGCTGTAGAGTTTTGGAAAAAAAAATCAAAGTTTACGTGTATTTTATATCGGAAATCTTTGCACGCCTTGGGCGAGGACTTAATGTTAATATTAAGGGTTAAAGTTTTCAGGGAGTTTTTTTAATGTGCTTTTCAAAAAATTTCGG